CAATAAATAAATTTTAAAACGTTTTTTAATGGAAATTATTTTTCTTTCTAATTTTGTGAGATTTACTTTTCTCAATATCGCTCAATATTGAAAAATATTAAATTAGAAAAATAAAATGGTTAACATAACCTCACTTTTTTGTCACAATGATACAAGTTGATTGCTAAAAAAAAACTAAAAAAACACCAGAAAATATTTACAAAATAAATGTAAATATATTTTTAAATGTTAATTTAAGTGAACATTAATATCATTTTCATTTTTGTGTGATTGGAATTCAAAATATTCGAAAATAACTAAATCAAAAAGTGTGCAACATAGCCTCACTTTCAATTACGCAATTGTTGTAATAGCGTTTTTAAAGCAAATAAATTAGTTTTTAAACTTAAAAAAACATTGAAAGAAGTAACGAATTTGGGGTATCATTAAGGTTTATAAAAAATATAAATTACTCTGTACAGTGCGGTACAGCTTTAAAAAATTTTTTTATGTCATTAATTTTTTTATCCTTCTGTTTCCGAATCTACTGAAGCGCACCCTCATAACATTAAAGTAAATTAATCTGTCCCAAAGTGTTATGTTTCTATTTGTATTGGACGTCTAATAAATTGCGTAATTGAAAGTGAGGCTATGTTGCAATCAACTTGTATCATTGTGACAAAAAAAGGTTATGTTAACCATTTTATTTTTCTAATTTAATATTTTTCAATATTGAGCGATATTGAGAAAAGTAAATCTCACAAAATTAGAAAGAAAAATAATTTCCATTAAAAAACGTTTTAAAATTTATTTATTGTTATTTTTTTAAATTATTTTTCTGTACTTTTTAAATGGATTTTTGTTATTGTGAATATGCGAGCGCCATCTGTTAGATGCAGCACAAAACATTGATTTGATTTAATGCAATCAGGGAGGGCGTCAGTGTTTTCGGTCACAAAATTTATATGGGAATTCCTATAATAGACCACGGCTATGACATCAGTCAACAGATATTGCTCAAAAACTAATCAGCTCGTCTTCTCGCAGTTCCCAATCATCAAAAAAAAGTCCAAGAAAGCGATCTGGGCGCGCGCGCTCGTTCCACCAAAAAATTGCACTTGTTGAAATAATTTTTATTTAGTTCGATCGCTTTTCATTACAATCAGCAAATATAAACTTAGAATGACATAATCTCAAATGTTCATGAAATTTGACAAATCATTAAGTTCGTCAATCAAATGAAATAAAAACACCATTATATTGAGATAGTGAATTAGACGTATTTAATGTCGATCTTTGTATGCATGTCGAGTAATGTGCCTCTCATCATCAGCAACACGACTAAAAACCGAACTCAAAAATATATACAATTGTCATATCAATAATCATAAGAGTGCAAAAAATCGAATTACAAATGATAATAAAATGAGACAAAATAAAATGTCTTACATCCGTAAGATGAACTTTTCCGCACTGTGATCCAGAACATTCATTTATTACATATCTTTTACCGTAGATATGAATTCATGAGAAATCTTAATCTGACATTAGTTTTGCGATACAAATGATTTCTGATTCTGATACATTCAATGCCTGTATGATATCGTTATCATGAAAAAATTTACAGGGGTTAAAATACAATTGAGTGGTACCTTCCATACAAAATTTTCGTTTTTGAGCGAAAAATCCAAAATTTTGTATGGGAGGTATCCCTAATACGCATTGAAATTTCTTTAAATTCTCAGAATGTTATTTTTGTGTGAGAATAACCTGTGCAAAGTTTCAGCTCATTACGATATCATACAGGCATGGCTTCCATACAAAAATCCAATTCTTTTGAAATGTTGGTATGAAAAGTGTGTCGAAATATATTTGTATCGCAAAAATAACGTCATATTCGGTTTTATCGTACCCAAAAACCCCCCAATACACATTTTTGAGTGTTTAAATATACATTAAATATCACTCTTGGAAGAAAAATTGAATTTTTCCCAGGGACCGCCATGGGCATCACACCAGACATGACACTTCACTCTATCAACCAAATTCGCTCAAAATCTAATGGTTTCTATTCTCCGGCACCCCCAATCATCCTGTGAAGTCAGATTTTGATTTACTTTTCTTGTTTGAAAGTTATCGATTTAACACATTTTTGCGCACAGCGTACAGGGTATCACGCACATACATTCGGACATCGAAAAAACGCTAGATTCGTGTGTTCATCATTTACTCGTTTCATCATTTTCACGTAGCTTTTTCATTTCATTAATTTGTTAAATTCATTGAGTTTACTTTTATTTCTAGGTGAAATTGATCAAATCAAGAAGCTCTTGGAAAAAGGGGCAAGTATTAATGCAGAAGATGAAGATAAAGGAACACCACTACATGTAGCTGCATCATTTGGTAATATTGCAAACTATCTACTCGAATTATTAATTCCCTTTTATGTTTGATAATTTGC